CTAATAGCCTCTAAAAATTTAACCAAATAAAGTTCATTTAATATACTATAATATGAATCAAAAATCTCATTTTTTGTCGAAAGGTTCCCGTAACCCATTTTTAATAGATCAGCTCCCATATGTTATATTTACTGATTGAAATTTGGAAACAAATAAATGTGGAGAGAGAGGAATGGAATAATCTATTATTAATGTTTTATTCTTGTATTCTCATTTTTAAAAAAAATTAATCCGTCATCCGGTACATATCCAGATTTCGGATAATCTGAAATCTGGGTTAAAAAGTTTTTTTTTAAATAAAACATCATCCTAATCCGGATATCCAATTTCCGGTTTGATCGAAGCACTATTTAAGGCCCTTTTTTTCTATGATAAAATTTATTATCAAATAATAAAGTCATTAATGTGAGGGATTCTTCAAAAACACAGATAAAAAGTGATGTAAATACAACGCTAAACGAAGAAAGTCCAACTGCAACTTTAGAAGTGAAATAAATACTTCCACTTTAGAACTTTCAGATATTACTATACATGTTTGTTCAAATTATGGTGAGCCTGCACAATACTTATTTATTTATGTATGGTTTGTGGACAGTCGGGACCTCGTTATTGTTCTCCAAAATGTCAAACTGAAAATCGGACTAAAGGACATTCCTCAGTATGTAAAGCTGCACATGCTGGTCAACTCTCGAATGTAGAAAGTGGTAGTGAAGGAAGCGTTACTGTAAGTAGATCTATATGCACGTGGGCAAATTGCACAAATCATCAATAAAAAAGGTAAGAGAATTAAATCATTCAATTCAAAACATTGACCTTATTTGTTATTCAAAAAATCTCACTACTTAAACTTATATTTTCTAATGATAACTTTAGACCAAAACACGCAACTCAACAATATTGATAATTCAGAAAATACACCCGAATCTTCTCGATTTTTAATTCATTCTTAATAGCAGAAATTCTAATAGGTCAAATTATTATTGTTATAAGAATAATATATGTTTAATTAAATATGGATACACTAAAGGTAGTATTATGATTGGAAGTTATATTATGATATAGATTAACCAATATTATAGACCTTATGGTTGTGGTACTTTTACTTCTTGGGGTTATGGGAAATCTTTTAATGAATTAGGTGTTGTATTTAATTAAATCGATTTATTTGTCTTTTTTTTTAAAAAAAAAAATCTTTATTTATTAGGAGCATTTTAGAGGTGTTTCAAATTCCAACGGATTATATTATACTTATTTTTGCATTGTGGAACTTTGCTGCCATAGGACTTATTTCTGTTTTTTTTTTGGAAAGGACCTCTGTTATTGCAACAAATTTATCTTACTAATATGTCAAGTTTGATGGTATTAATGATTTATTATATTGGGATCCTTATTGCAGAGCTATATATAATTTTCCTTGATAATTTTAGGCATTTTCTCTAACAGGTTTATCATCATGGACCACATGGCGTTGTTAACTATTTTGGGTACGTAAGGTAACATCTTATTATTTATTTAAATAATTCATTCATTATATTAATTTCTAAATTTGCATTAAAAAAAGATTTGATTGCTGTGCTTTGTCCTTTTGGTCCCCTACGCATTTTGGTTGAAAGCTCACTTGATGATCAGAGAGAGATACTATATTGGTATGATTAATATAAAAAATGCCTTTGAATTTAGTTAATTGTTGATTGCTAAAATTTCAAAAACCTTTTTTTTATTTTAAAAAAGTAAATGCTGTATGGTTAATGGCATTACCGGGAATTTCTAATCAATTTACATCATCATTATTTAATTCGTTACGATCATCTGCATCATCATTTCAGGTAAGAAATTCCATTATTAGAAAACAAGATATATTCTTGATAATCGAAATGTTCATGGTGAAGTTAAGGGTGAATTTATCAATGTTAATGCGAATGAGAACCGTCTCTTACGGGTAAAACACCGCAACCGAATGATTATTCATTAGAAGGTTTGATTTTTTATTAATTATTTGAACTTAATTAAGATTAATTATTAACGATAACTTTAATTTTAAATTAGAGAAAAAAAGTGGATTGAAATTAGGACTAGGTAATTTTGTAACTTATAGCGTCCTTTGTAGCTCAAGCTGGTAAGTTGTTAAAAAATTCATTAAAAATAATTTATAAACAATCATGATAATTTAATTTAATAAATAACTAATGATTTATTTATTAATACACTGTAGCTCCGTACTAATGGTAATGATTTATTTTCACTTTTTTCAGAGGATAAATCACTAATCAAAAATCATTTTTTTTTGTCATATATTATTTAGGGACTTAATACGAATATATTTCTTCTTGTAATTTATAAGAAAGTGCTTCCTGCATTACCAATTTCAATTGCTTTCGGGATATTCTTTTACTTTGTTACCCGTTATACTTTAGTTCCATATGCACAGTTTCTTGGATTATTTTTAATCGCCGTTTGACTTTAATTTTAATTTGATTTAGAAATAGATCGTAGAATGTTTTTAATGAAGTCTTAGTTAATTTAATTAATCTAAAGTATTCCTAAAAGATTTGTCTACATATTCACTTATTTTTTAATACACATATCCTTAGTTAAGAATCTAATGATTTTGATTGCATATAAGGTTCCACGCTAATTGTCTCTTTACTAAAAGATTCCGCGCCATTTCTCTCTGAACTTAAAGGTTCCACGCTATTTTTCTTTGAACTTAAAGGTTCCACGCTATTTTTCTCTGTACTTAAAGGTTCCACGTTACTTGTCTCTGTGCTTAAAAATTCCACGCTATTTGTCTCTGTGAATAAAGATTCCACGCTATTTGTCTCTGACATTTCTTGATCTTGTTGCAATTTGATCGCATATTCTTCGATTTTATCCAAACCGAGTTTTTGTTTTCCGCCTTGAGCGGTACCACTTAAAGTATCTTTAATTCTGTCCAATCTTCTTTTAAGCTCTAAATCATCAATTATTCCACCACCCTCCTGATAATCAATTTGCATATCTTCAAGGGTTGTTGTAAAGGGTTGTCTTATGTCATTATACATATCGGCAATCTTTAAATCCAAATTATTTAGAGTAACAAAATCTGAGGAATTATAGTATAAAGTTAATAGATTTAGTCTTCTCTCCCTACGTTTTTCTGATTCACGTTTATGGTAATTTTTAAGAGCATTTTCTCTTTTCATTGCGCGATATTCATCAGTACAAAACTCATTTGGATCAGAAGACAAAGATAAAATTTTAATTGTTTCATGAATTTTATTTAATTTATCTCGTCTTTCTTGTTTTATTTTGTTATGCCATTCTTCTTTTTTCCGTCTTAATTCTAATTCCTCTTCATTCTTTGGAACGGCTAAATGAATTTCTTTAATGGATTCCTCTTTATATTGTTGAACCTTATCTTTTTTCTTTGAATTGACCAAGTCAAATTCTTTAATTGATGTCGTTTCTTGTTCTGTTGCTGGATTTTCTGCTCCTTGTACCTTTTCTATCTTATCTTTTAATTTTGCTGCTAATTTCGCCTTTTTTTTATTTGATTTTTTCGGTGGAGGTGGGGAAGAAAATTTTGTCACATCATAACCTTGTTTACCAGGAATAAATGCTAATGATGTTTTATTAATATTATGAGAATTCAAAGTACTTTCATGACGTAAAAATAAATTAATTATTGTAAATGAATTTCTTTTTGATGCGAGTTGAAAAAACATTTTTTTTTTTATTTAAAAAAAAAAGATTGATTATATATAAAATCGGTAAAATTACATCTATAAATCTTAATTGTCACATGATATGTTACGTCACGCTTTGTGTTAATCTTGTGGTTAAAATCCCATGAACCCTGTGGCATTAGTTGGGTAAAAATAATTCCGATAGCAAGGAATATGATGTAATGGATCCCTCAGTACTTTAGTGATATGTCAGGGGGTGTCTTCCTTAAGGGCTTAATCCCAAGCATCGTGACAAAATCTGGGCCAGTCCACGTAAGGCCAACGGAGACCTATTACAGTCGATAATCCGATAATCGTGGATCGTTAAGGGACATTGCTATCCCTTAGATTGTAGGGTTTCGCAGGCAAATTTGCCTGCTTATTTACTATAAATTCTCTTCTGATTTACTTTTA